AGGGACAATTATAAATCTGTCAAACTTGTGATTAATGTCATGCTTTATACCTTGAATAACCTGGATCACATTAATATGTATGTACCAAATTAATGCCTATGTAAGCAAATCCCATGCAGGGTTTTTGTTAGATACATGAAATACTCTGTTAGATATATGAAATGCATCGTTTTTTTATATTATACAAAATAAAAATGTATTATATATTTTAGCACATCTCTCTTGGCTATTTAATTGCACCCCTCCGGAAACCCTATCTTTTTTCTTTTTATTACTATTACATAACTATGTTATCTTAATATTGTTCTCTAATAGTATAGTTCTTGCTCCCATTTTAAGATTCAGTCTTCAGAGACATTCTAGTTACTCTGGGAGGGACGGGATTCCCCGGGTTGTCCTCGGCGTTTGTTTATATGCTTCTCCCATAGTGGGGCTAACCGTTTCTCCCTTGCTGATTGCTGAGGAATAGGTGTTGTTTCAGCATTCCGAGCCATTTATTGCAAGCGTCCCAACAGGAGACCCGCTTCCTCCGGCATAGTAAAGGAGTAGACTCTGTTATTATAATGAAAGAGAGTTTTAAGCTGGTACCCCCAGTTATATTTGGTGCCGTGTTGCTGTAATACTGTCAAAAATGGTTTCAGGGCCCTGCGGCGTTGTAAGGTTTGAGGGGCAAGGTCTGTATATATTTGATAGTTATAATGCTGGAACTTAAGGGACCGCTTGTCCCATGCCGCTTGTACCATAGCTTCCTTTATCTTATAAAACATTGGTTTCAAGATATTGTCTCTCGGGGTTCCATCAGCCCGCTTTGGTCCCAGAGCCCAGTGCATACGATCTATTTCAAGTTTTTCAATGGGATATTCTGGCAGTAGCTCTGAAAGCATTGCAGCAACAGTAGCCCCCAGATCATCTATTTGCTCTGGGATCCCACAAATCCTTAAATTACCCCGTCGGCTTCTGTTCTCTAAGTCCTCTATTTTTAATAAAGCCAGAGAGAGGTCGGTTTTTACAACAGTCAAATCATGTTCATGTGCCTCTATCACAGTAATAACATCATCCAATTTCGTTTCAACCTCATGTATCCTCGATCCCACTTCCTTAATATCCCCGGATAATTGAGAGGCCAGCATATCCGTAGCAGTCTGTAACTCGTTTTGCAATAGTACCTTAAATGTTTCTAGTAGTTCTGCATCTCTGCAGGTTACCTCCACTAGTTGTTCACTTGATGTCTGGAGAAGGGAACTTTCTCCCAGAAAGGGTCCTGTGGCGTCCGTGAGCTCCGGCGTAGAGGACCGCGGCTGTGTCGGCGGTGTCCCCGACAGCCTCGCTAGCGCCCCCCCTGCGGTGACACATTTTACCACATTTCAATGGTGCACACCAGCCCTAAACCAAGGGGAATAATTAAGATTATTTGTGATGATGGCATAATGTTTATATAATTCCATATAATTTTCACAGACCAGCAGTCCTTGTTTATCTTCTAAAGTACTTTGTCTTTCATATTTCATCCATTACAATCCCCTTTTTTGACATTAATATATTAAACGGGGTGTTACAATAAAACATGTTTTTTAAGACAACCCTCACCTTTTACAATGGCCGCCAGTTCCCAGTCCTCCCTACTTACCCATTGTGCCATATCATGGTCTGTTACATGTGGCTAAGCCAGACATTCCCATTAATGTGGAAAATGAGAACAGTTTTGATAACAGAAGTAAAATCTGATTACAAAAACTTCCTAATGAGTGCTGTGCATTTCCTCTGAGGTCATTAATCAGAGGATGGCTGACAACGAATCCGCCAATTCCGAGATAGATTACACCAATTATTACGCCATGAGCGCATAAACCCGGCAAGGAGAAAAGAGCCTTTTCACACATATGTCAGACAGGATCTCTGCATTCTGCTTCTTGCTGGGACATGGAAGGGCCAGAATTCGGTTTTCGTCCTTTGATGATGCATCATATGCACATTCACTCGTCTCATTTCATGTTCCATATCACATTATCACTGACTTTTCCAATTACTGATTTACAGTTCAGGCCTCCACCCATGGGCATTAGTCCGGTTATACGTATGACAATGACTCATTTCAAAGTATTGCGGAAGACGCGCCCTGATCGAAGGATAACGTTGTAAGAACAATATGCAGGTTGGACCAATTATATACATTCCGTTATTTGATGTGGTCCTTGAAAGGGTCAAACAACCCAAAGCTGACATTTTAGTTTTGGTGGATGCCGGAGAGTTAAATCCCAGTTCCATCTTAAGATAACCCCTTGGCCTTCACTCCCCCACCCCCAGCATTTATATACCTATTTATTTCCTATGTGCATACTTACCTTTTCAGTAGGGATCTTTGGTCTGGTCATGTGATTTTACGGGTCCTTTAATGGGCAGCTCTGAATGAACATTACATCAGGCTGTTCCCTGTAGCATTCAAATATGAGTTCAGGACAGTTTGACGATGTACCTCCTAGAAGCGCTGGCTCACAGGAATTGGGTTGAATGAGGATGAACGTCTATCGGGCCGGAAAATAATCAGTACTTAATTCTAAAGCAGTGAGCCATTCGGCTCTAACATTTCTAATGGGATTGGGCTTTAAACCACCTGGAAGATACTTATCTTTTGGCAAACCCAATCAGTGACATCTCTGCATTAGATCTAATTCAATCATTATCAGGTGTCCCACTCTCCCTGATGTATCTTTTATTATACTGAGGAGGGAGAACACCCCAGGGGGTCAGGTAACACGAATGGGAACCATGGCTTTTAGATATCTGCACCAGAGTCCTCATAGGTACAAGAAGCCAAAGGTTGGAGATGACCTATTCCTGCAGACTCTATGGTTTGGGAGGGATTACAACACCAACATTCTACGAAGTATAGGAAAGAATGAAAGAGTTTGGATGTGGGTCAGCAATTCTGGCCATCATATTGCTTTTGTCTAGACATCTGATTGGAACAGAGTGCAATCATTTAACTGTAAATTCTGAGTCATTATAAGAAACCATGACAACCAGTATAAATACACTGCGCATAATAGTAACTGTTAATACATTGAGATGTTTTTGCTCTAACACGTTTTCTCACTAATGTGGCTGTGATAAGTTGTCTATGTATCTGGACTAACTATCCAGTAATAAAAGAATGCCCCCAGAGCACAGGTCATCGATGATAAATAAGGCAATATCATTTCTTTTCCTGGGTAAACATTCTGCAGCAATAGTGGATGTGATGTCTTGGAACGTAGCACCTTAGAAGAATAAATCTTGAGAATTGATCACACTCCTACTATTCATATATACAGGTGAAACTCGAATAATTAGAATATCGTGCAAAAGTAATTGAAGTAAGTGTTGCAAAAGGGGCCCAAACCAAGTACTGGGTACATACGCATGCTTGTACTTTTCAGAGGTCCGATATTGTTCTATGTGCAATCCGTGTTTTATTGATTGCATGTAATAATCTACTTTTTTGAGGTTGTGGATTTGGGGTTCTTGGGGTTTTCATGAGCTGTAAGCCATAATCATCACAATGATGACAAATCACGGCTTGAACTATCTCGCTTTGCAAGACTCTCTCATATATTAGTTTCACCGCATAAGTTGCATTAGTGAAATAAATGAACTTTGCACCATATTCTAATTATTCGAGTTTCACCTGTAATGTCATGAAGTCAACATCCGCATAATGACTCCACATCCACCCAGCCTGCATCCATTATATATCAGCCTACATTATTCAATGTTACTAATAATATAAGAGGCTTCTCTGGTGATAAGGGACCAGTGGCAATCCTGTAATTACATCCCTATGAGAGGTGGGTGAGTCATTGCAAAAAATATCTGACCTCTTTATTTTCTTACAAAAGGTAAAACACCACTTTATGGCAAAAAGTATGAGGACAACTGAAAGAGCAATGGCAATGTGTGCCCATTGGATGAGATCTCTGTATAATCCCCATCTGACTGTGTAAGGACAATAGAGTATATACACACACACAATTTATAGCTTACAAATATCTGACATTAATCACAAGCTTAAAAGTCAAAGATTAAGAGTACCGCATATGCTGTATAACCAAATGTATGTAAACACCCTCCAATGACCTGAATGAGTTGAGGTGTCTCCAGAAGGGTCTGTTAATACTCCATCAAACAAAGACATTGTAGACAATTGTGATCTTCCAGCCTTGTGGTCACAGTTTGGTGAAGACCCTTTTCTGTTCCACCCATGACTGTCCCCTGTGTACAAAGCCGGCTCCATACAGACATGGTGTGACCAGATAGGTGTGGAGGAACTCGAGTGTCCTGCACAGAGCCCTGACCTCAACCCTACTGAACACTGACTGTGAGCCCAGGTCTTCTCATCCAACATCAGTACCTTACCTCAACCCTACTCAACAACTTTGGGATGAATTTTAACACCAATTGTGAGCCGGGTCTTTTCATCCACCGTCAGTACCTGACCTCAGAAATGCAAATGGGACAAATTTCCACAGACACCCTCCAAAATCTTGTGGAGAGACTTCCCAGAACAATGGAGGATGGTATAGACATTAGGCAACATCATATTAATGGCCAGGGGGGGAGGGGGGGACTGCATAATACTGGCCATGGCTCTGGAATGGGATTTACAACAAGCTCATGAAGGTGTGATGGTCAGGTATTTGTGTATTTGACATTTACATGATGTTTAAGAGCGATATTTACTACTTTAGAAATTATAATAATATTGACTGGTCCTCATTTATAAAACTATGTGAACTAATCAAAGCAGCCAGGTAAAATCTTCCATTCATTTTCTTCTTTTAAAGTGAGAGAATCTTATGGCCAATAATTGGTCTGAATTTATGAAAGGAGGGTTCTCTTCCCTAAATATTGCTAAGCATCACATAGTGAAGACTGAGCTGATTGTGTATTGATGTCATTGTCTTCTATCTGCCCTTCTATGGCAACATTTAACCAAACTGTAATATTATGATAATTCCTTCCAGCTCCATCTCCTGACACTGATGTCTGTGGCTTCTCGTATCTACAAGCACCCCAGCCTGAAAAACTCTGTGAACTTAGTTGTGGTAAAGGTTCTGGTGGTGGAAGACGAAGATGCTGGTCCAGAAGTGTCTGACAATGGTGGTCTGACGCTACGGAATTTCTGCAGGTGGCAGCAGAGGTACAACCCATTGAGTGATCGCCATCGAGAGCATTACGATACCGCCATTCTCATCACTCGTCAGGTATGTGACACTTCCTAAAGACTGAGCTTCCAATATGCAACACGTCAGGCTCAGAATATCACTTACATCTATTCCAGAACCAACTGCCGCAGTCTAGCCACACACTCTGCAATATGATATAGCACCAACCTCACAAGGAAATCACTTCTCTTCTCAGGCTAAAAAGGAGTTCACACAAATGACTAGACATGCAAATTTTATTTCGTTCCAAAAAAATATTTGTACGAATGTTGTTAAAATAGGACAATCGGATGCATGCGAACGAATCTGAATGCTCATTTAATAAAAATTCAGATCCGTCCCAATTTAGTTCAAAACAAAACCAATTGGGACACGTGACTGTTCTCTGGCCAATAAGATATTTTTTTGGGCTGTTGGGGGTTGTATTCAAGGCACATTCATGTGATTCCAATCCAAAATCCAAATAACAAACCCAATTAAATTTCAGATCTGAAATCCAAAAAATGAAAGAAATAAAAATCCGAATGGATCCAAAACAAAATGAAACACATTTCTTTGTGGAGTTAAATGTCTACAAATGACACTTTTTTATATTTTTATTGTTTAGCTGAAGAAATTGTCACACTCGGCAGCAATACGTTTTCCACACAGTATCAGCTTGCTGTATTCACTAGAATGGAGAAATGATTTTGTCTTGGAAAAGGGAACCCAAAGTGCACCTATAATACAGTGTCCTCGGCCCCCCTACCAGTCCTATGCTCACCATGTTCTTACAATCTGATTGTACAATCCAAACAGCTACCAATATTTAGTCTGATTGGGTATAACCTGAATGAACTGTTTAGGCCGGCCCATACATGACATTGTTTTGGGGATTCTAGTAGATTGTATATTGTAAGGCCAGCTTTATACTCATCTGTCCTCTAACCAGCGAGATTTCCCTGATAGGGCCACACAGCTGCTTGTCAAAATCTTCTCGTCTCGCCCCCCGTATACATTCTGCTATTATTCCTTCTTATGAACAGTAAGTCCAGAACACTCCTCCTTATTCACACAGCTTTTGCATTGATGGTCAGTGGAGAGTCCCCATGGACCCCCTGATAAAAGCCCCTTCACATATATTGGCAGGAAGTATGCCCCCCATACACTGGTAATTATTGGCAGGAAGTATGCCCCCTGTACACTGGTAATTATTGGCAGGAAGTATGCCCCCTGTACACTGGTAATTATTGGCAGGAAGTATGCCCCCTGTACACTGATAATTATTGGCAGGAAGTATGCCCCCCGTACACTGGTAATTATTGGCAGGAAGTATGCCCCCTCTACACTGGTAATTATTGGCAGGAAGTATGCCCCCCGTACACTGGTAATTATTGGCAGGAAGTATGCCCCCCGTACACTGGTAATTATTGGCAGGAAGTATGCCCCCCGTACACTGATAATTATTGGCAGGAAGTATGCCCCCCGTACACTGGTAATTATTGGCAGGAAGTATGCCCCCCGTATACTGGTAATTATTGGCAGGAAGTATGCCCCCCGTACACTGGTAATTATTGGCAGGAGGTATGCCCCTGTACAGGCAGCCCCAGGTGCCCCTTTATAGGCAGCTAAGGAGATTATCCAGAGTTGGAAATGTTCTGCTCCACTCTATGCCAGTTCCTGGATGGGTCAGTGACTTGGTGCACTAAGCATGCAGACTCAGAGAATGTGCCCTAGTAGTCCGGGTCTAGTGATGCCCATGTGGTAGCCATGGACCATGTGCTTTATTAATCAACATAATATTGTGAATTTGAAATAAAGAATTGATTTATTCCTGTTCAGTAATATTTCCGCTGTAATAATCACTTGTACATGTTTTTGTGTCAGGACTTTTGTGGACATGAGAGCTGTGACACGCTGGGAGTGGCTGACATTGGGACGGTGTGTGACCCCAGCAAGAGTTGTTCTGTGATTGAAGACGATGGACTGCAGGCAGCTTACACCCTGGCCCATGAGCTTGGTAAATGTCCTTCTATACTATCCAAGCACTAGCCTCACCTGGGCGATCCACTCTCAGATCTAATGAGACTCATCAGACTTTTCATTTCAACTTTTCCTAAAACATCACTTAGGGTTAGGGTTAGGGTTAGGGTTAGCTACTTCTCTCTGTCTCATTTTGCTCTGAAAAGCAGCCTGAAGCGTGTGAACGAGCGACGTTTAAAGCCCCCTCTGCTATTCGCTTTTGATTTTGCTAATAAGGTATAAAATCGGAGGCTCGTCTGTCCTCTTTAACAGGCACATGAGACAAAATCTGCAGAGTTGCTGGCAAAGGCAATAGTTTCTTCTTTGGTATATTGCTAGAAATCTGCAAAACCTGAGGACACCTACATATGCAAACTCATGCAGAAAGTGGCCCTGGGGGGAATGATCCCCAACATCACAGGTCAGCTGATACCTGGACCCCTTGGTGGGCTGATCCTGGGACCCCTTGGTGGGCTGATCCTGGGACCCCTTGGTGGGCTGATCCTGGGACCCCTTGGTGCTCTGATCCTGGTACACTTGGGTGGACTGATTCCCAAACCTCATAGGGGGCTGAATAGTAATACAAATAAAAAAGTGTATTTAAAGTCAAAGCTTTTATTAATTTTGGATGTAGCATGTAAAGGTTAGAACCCCTGTCAGGTTTTGGGAAATCCTACATTTTACAATTCTCCTTAACCCTAACCCTTGCTTTTCCTCACATTGGAGAGATGTTCCTCTCACTTCCTGGTGTGTCTCCAGGACAGGAAATGAAGGGAAATCTACCCAATGGCACACAGGCAGCAATATAAAATAAACATTTACAGGGTTTTAACCTTTTCCTACAATATCCAAATTGGAAAATCACCATACAGCTGAATGTCTTTTCTATCCTGGTTACAATCCATGTTCCTAGTAAAAAAAGGAATGCCAGGAATTTATACAAGACACATTGCTGACATGATATTATCGAGCTCTAGTAAGCATCAGGAAAAGTGTTTCTACGGGAAAGCAAATGTTCTGCTCCTTTCTCTGAACCAGCAAAGAACAAAAAAAGAGACTCTGTCAGATGTCTCAACAAAATACCAGTTTCCTGTAATAGAAGATGTATTGCACTCACCGGTCCAGGGTGTCTGGGTATTTGGCATGTTTAAATCTTTTCTTTGTATGTTGTAGTTAAATAGATTGTTGGTTCATTGTATTTAAGTCTTGATACTATATACCAATAAATTCTGTTATTGTGTTGAGCTCAAAAATCTCATGAATGAATCCTTAGAATCTCATACCTGTAAGTGTGAATGCTTATATAGCAGATCATAACTTGAAATAGTAATTCAGGTAACAGGGCCCAGGTCTCCTATCTTCCCTCCATTCTCTGTAATAGAAGAGGTATTATACTCACCGGTCCAGTTGCCCAGTTATCCTATCATCCCTCTGCTCTCTGTAATACAAGAGGTATTATCCTAACCTGCCTAGGGCCCCAGGTCTCCTATTGTCCCTCCATTCTCTGTAATAGAAGAGGAATTTTTCTCACCTGCACAATGGCCCTGGTCTTCTATGGTCCCTCCATTCTCTGTAATAGAAGAGGTATCATACTTAGTTGTACGATGGACCTGGTCTTCTAGTCTTCCTTCCATTCCAGTGATGCAGCTTCTGCTAGTCTCTTCAGCCTTTGACATTTTGAGGAATGGAATTCTGACACCTCTGGCGCCTACATCATGACAAAAATCAGCAGTGACATTGGGGTTGAAGGAAGGAACCACAATGCATGGTGGGGGACCCAGCAGTTGAAACTCCCAGCAGCAATGCATGTCAAAGAGACTGACTGACACTGCAGTGCTGAAACAGAATGACAATAAAAGATTGAGAAAAACTTTCCAACATGCTCTTTCGATGTTTTCTGTCACTTTACCTGAACTAGATCATCAATTTCACCACATTAACGATTATAAAGTTGAAAAAACGTTCCGAAATCGGTTTCTTTTGTTTGAAATTCTAACCCTGTATGCTCAGCTTTAGTTATTTAATCACCATTTGACCTTTTGAATTTTAAATAACTCTAATTCCTGAAGTGTAACTCCAAAGTCTGTGATGTTTTATCATATCAGATTATTTCCAGCTCTGATCGCTCTCTTCTCTCTTTCTTCAGCTCATGTCCTCAGTATTCCACATGATGACTCCAACAATTGCAGGAAGGTATATGAAGATCTGGACAGACACCACTTGATGGCTTCCCTCTTTCTGCAGCTCAACAAGTCCATGCCGTGGTCGCCATGCAGTGCAATGCACCTTACAGAGTTCTTTGACAGCGGCCATGGTAAGAAGTGATGGAGGGAAGGGTGGAGGGAAGTATCCTTATACATTGTACTAATGAAAATCTCTAATTTAATGATGAATTCACCCAATACAGACTAGGCACACCTCCTAATCATATAAAGGCTTGTCACATCCTCCCGTCATATGTCCACTATTCCAGATAGGAAAAAACACGCAGGCCATTAACAGAACTTGGTGGCATTGACCTGGAAATACCGGAATTTTTGATCTGGTTGCTGGGTCAGTACCAGAACGTTTGCATCTCCGGAATGAATTCCAGAGATGTAAATACAAGCAGCAGGACTAACCCTAAGTTGTGGCTGGTCTTAGGAGTGTGACGATGGGCAGTTGTTTAACCATCTGTATTTAGCATTACACTAGAATGTGAAGGTAAGTGGCACATGCAATTACATAAAGATAAGAGCAAGAGTAAGACCTTCTGGCATTGGTATTCCACACATGAATACATCAGTTGTAGAAGGACAAGTGTTTGGGTCCATAGGACAGTTCCTAAAACAAGGACAGGTGGGGACAGTTTGAAGGGTAGACATCAGATGATCTGGAAAACACTTTCTGTTCTTTTCTGTATAAATCAGACTCTGCAAGGATAACAATTCAGTATTAAACAATCCACCTCCATTGGTCTACCATGGTCTTTCTGATAGAGAGGTGCAGAGTTTCAGAAGAAGGTTGTAGTCATTTTCTGCAGGACTTGTACTATATAATTCCTGGGTAGAAGTCACCAAGAATTGTGATTTGTTAGTAATTTATGAGGCAGTAATGTTAGAGCAGAATGTTCTCTAGAATGCAGACCTGTTCCTCATGATCGACAGTAAAAATGCATCAGGAAAGAACTTTGTGTTGCTCTGTCAGCTCATCCAACACACCCTGAGGTTACATAGTTCCACAGCTGCATACTGAGGTGAAGGAGATGGATGAGCAGATTGGGGTTGTATGGTGTCTGTATGGTGTGATGAGTAGATTGGGGCTGTATGGTGTCTGTATGGTGTGATGAGTAGATTGGGGCTGTATGGGGTCTGTATGGTGTGATGAGTAGATTGGGGCTGTATGGGGTCTGTATGGTGTGAATCCATCGTTATGGTTGTATGGTATTGTACTGAATGTGACAACCACAATATTGTTCACAATTCGCACACACACTACCTGAGCAAGGATTCATTTCCCGCTACAGGCACCCTAACCCTAAAAGGAAACAGCTGCATTTTCCTTAGGGTTAGGGTTAGGATTAGGGTTAGGGTTAGGATTAGGATTAGGGTTAGGATTAGGGTTAGGATTAGGGTTAGGGTTAGGATTAGGGTTAGGGTAAGGATTAGGATTAGGGGTTAGGGTTAGGATTAGGGGTTAGGGTTAGGATTAGGGTTAGGGTTTTCCTCCTCACCGGTGCTAAAATATGAACATTCTACATTTACAATGACATAGCTCCCCTTTGTGATTCTGACTTTCATTCTGGAAGTTTCTTCTGCACCTGGCTGTCAATCCCTACAGCTGCCAGTATCTGAACCTTAGGGTTAGGTGTTCTCTGGTTCAAGCTCTGTCCTCTGCACATGGAAGGATTAACATGAAGAACAGAGCCCTACACCAATAAATATTAGGGATGCACGGGAATTAATTTTTTAGACCGTAACTGAAAAACCTGACAGATGTTCTAACCCTTCCCCACTCATTGGGGGGGGGGGGGG